CTAGGCATATTTGTACTTGTCTCATTAGTTTAGCTGCTGCGATGCTGTTTATCTCTGAAAAGTAGGTGTTCTTTTCCTGACATACACAGCTTTGACTTGTAACTCCATGCTTGCCTATTTTTCTTCTTTTCTATATTCCGATTTCATTGTATGATTTCACTTAATTGTGAAGTGGACATTAGACGCGCTTCATCATTTTTAACTACGCTTGAATATATGATACTTCGCCTGATCTTGACTACCCTTTACGTCTTGTCATGAGAGTGACAACTTCATCTTCTAGTTCATTAGGCTCTATCTAATGATTTTGCCACTTCATGTTGATGTTTGGCCAACTTTCGTCCGGTGCTTGACTTAGTCTCATACAAGCTTATTTCGATCTTACATCTGATTCCTCAGGCTTCAGCTGATAAATTCATCTTATCTTGTATTTGATTTAGGCTTGGATGAACCTTAGTCTTGATACTAACTTTTGCCATCGTCTGATGTCTTGTTCAACTTGATTATGCTTGATAATACTTGTCCTTCATTTTTCCTGAACTTATTGTTATTTGTCTGAAACACTAATACACATGTTAGCAATAACAATATGTATTATATTTGTCATATTCAAAACCTCGGTGTGAATTGTAAATGCACTTCGTTTGACTTAACAATCTCCCCCTTTTTGATGATGACAAATATAATCTATCGAGTCATTTTTAGATGTATCTATCATACATGTTTATACATATCAAGCATCCTGTATCAGACAAAGAGCAGACAAGTATCATGTGATATTGTAGTGAAGGGGTTTCTATGTGCGTTTTCTAAAGTACTAGGGATCCTCCTCCTTACTAGGGATCCTTCCCCTAGGTCTATGCTCTACCCCTTACTTTGTGGCCTTTTCAGTTGATAGATTTTTTGTGATCTTTCTCCCCCTTCGTGATCATCAAAAAGAAATAGAGTAAGAGTGTAATATATTATTGATCATCTATCAATTCCATTCCTAGCCTATCTCTTAGCCAGACATATCTATCTTCTTGAAGGGGTTTGGTGAAGATATCAGCTAGTTATTCTTCAGTCTTAACATAAACCAGTTCAAGTGTTCCTTTTTGCATATGATCTCTAATGAAATGATGTTTAATTTCTATATGCTTAGTCCTAGAATGCAAAACAAGATTTTTAGAAATGTTAATTGCAGCAGTGTTATCACAAAGTACAGGAATACTACTTTCATAAATGTCGTAGTCTTCCAGCTGATGTTTGATCCAAAGCAATTGCGTAAGGCACTGCCCTGTGGCAACATACTCAGCTTCACAAGTTAATAAGGCAATCATGCTTTGCCTTTTGCTAGTCCATAAAACCAAGAAGCGACCAAGGAAATGACATCCTCCGGTAGTATTTTTTCTCTCCCATTTGTCTCTTGCATAATCTGCATCACAATATCCTAGAAGAGAAAAATTTTGGCTTCTATAGAAGATGATGCCTAGGTTAGGTGTTCCTTTAAGATATCTTAAATTCTTTTAACAGCTTGTAAGTGTACCTCCTTAGGTCGTACTTGAAACCTAGCACAAACGCAGACGCTGAACATGATGTTGGGTCTTGACGCTGTTAGGTACAAGAGAGAACCAACCATTCCTCGGTACATCGTGCTATCAACGTCTGGTGATTTTTCATCCAGACCAAGAGTAGTTGAAGGATGCATTGGTGTCTTCATTGGTTTCGCATCTTCCATCTTAAACATTTACAGTAATTCTTTTGTATACTTCGTTTGATGAATTTTGATTCCTTCTTTTGATTGGACAATTTAAAGTCCTAGAAAGAACTTCAGTTCTCCCATTATGCTAATTTCAAATTCTTCCTGCATAAGCTTGGAAAACTCTTGACAAAGATTTTCATTAGTAGAACCAAATATTATGTTGTCTACGTAGATTTGAACTATTATGAAATCATCTTTTATTTCTTTTCTAAACAAGGTGCTGTCAATTTTACCTCTTATAAAGTTATTATTTGTTAGAAAAGAGCTTAATTTTTCATACCATGCACGGGGTGCCTGTTTTAGTCCATAGATGGCTTTGTTTAGTTTAAAAACATGAGATGATAATAGTTCGTTTTCAAATCCAGGAGGTTGACATACGTAAACTTCTTTTGAGATTGTTCCATTTAAAAATGCACTTTTAACATCCATCTTATATAATTTCATGCCAGTACATGTAGCAAAAGCAAGTAAAATTATAATGGCTTGTATTTTGGAAATAGGTGCAAAAGTTTCAGTGAAGTCTATACCTTCTTGCTGAGAGTACGCTTTTACAACTAACCTTGCTTTGTTCCTTACCACATTCCCTGATTTGTCCAATTTATTTTTGTATACCCATTTTGTTCCTATGATCGTCTTGTCCTCAGGCTTTGGAACAAGTTTCTAGACGTCATTCTTCTGGAATTGACTTAACTCTTCTTGCATGGCCTGAACCCAGCTTTCGTCTGATAGGGCTTGGTCCGTGGTTCTTGGTTCAACTTAAGATAGTAGTGCGATTTGTGCTTGTGTTTTGAATGAACTTCTAGTTCTTACTGCATCCTTTGCTTCTCCAATGATTTGTTCTTGCGGGTGATGAGCTTTCATCTTCCATTTGCGATTGACTGGTTCTCTTTCCTTTCTTTCGTCCTATTGAGTTATTGTTTCTTCAGACTCAGTCTTTTTCGTCTGATTATTGTTCACTTGCATGTCCTCTAAGAAATTGCCTAGCTCTGATATTTCTTTATCAGGCTTGTTTTCATCAAATTTAACATGAATGGCTTCTTCAACAGTTTTGGTTCTGTTGTTGTATAGGCTATTGATCTTTCAGAATATCCAAGTAGGATACCCTCGTCGGTTTTTGAGTCAAATTTTCTTAAATTGTCTTTGGTATTCAAAATAAAGCATTTGCATCCAAACAGATGAAAATATGATATGTTGGATGCTTGTCCCTTCCACAATTCATAGGGTGTCTTTTTCAATAAAGGCCTAATATATATTCTGTTTTGAATATAGCAAGAAGTATTAACTGCTTCTGCCCAGAAATGTTTGGGGGTGGAGAAATCATTTAATAAAGTTCTTTCCATTTCTTGTAACGAGCGATTCTTTCTTTCTACAACCCCATTTTGTTGTGGAGTTCTAGGTGTTGAAAAATTGTGTTTAATTCCATTTTCTTCACAAGATTCTTGAAATTGATCATTTTCAAACTCTCCCCCATGATCACTTCTAATAGAAATGATTGATATTCCTTTTTCATTTTGAACTCTTTTACAAAATACATGGAATACCTTAAAAGACTCATCCTTGTGGGTTATGAACAACACCCACGTTCATTTGGTGTAGTCATCCACAATGACCAATCCATATCTTTTACCACTTACAAATGCTATCCTAGTGGGTCTGAATAAGTCTATGTTGAGCAATTCAAGAGGTCTTGAGGTGGAAACATGATTTGTACTTTGAAATGAACTTTTAATTTGTTTTCCCTTTTGACATGCTTCACATACATTGTTCATCTGATGTACAAGATTTGGTAGTCTTCTTACGAGGTTATGCTTTTTCAGCTTTGAGATTAATCTCTGGCTTGCATGACCAAGTTTCTTGTGCCAGATCCATTGATTTTCATATGAGACTAGATAATCAAAATTATGATTTTCTAGTTCATTAAGCATAATTTTATACAAGTTGTTGTATTTGTTAGCTATAAATAATATAGATGAATCAGTTTGACTAATAGTACATTTATCTTTGTTGAAGGATACCTCATAACCACTATCACACAATTGACTTATGCTTAGTAGATTATGCGTTAATCCTTTAACATACAGAACATTATTAATAAATATGGAGGAGTTGATACCTATTTTACCTATCCCCATGATAAGTTTTTTCTGTCCCCCTCTAAACGTGACTTGCCCTCCTTTCTTGGACTTGAGGTCTAGGAAAATAGACCTTTCGCCCATCATGTGTCATGGGCAGCCACTGTCTAGGTACCATGATTGGACATTTTTTGTTCTTATTGAACAAATCTGCAATAGGCACTATTTCAGTCTTTGGTACCCAAATGGATTTGGGTCCATGAGTGTTTGCACTGGAGGTTTTCGAATCCCTCTTCTTGTGCATGTGACTGCACTTGGATGTAAAATGTCCGTTCTTTTCATACGAAGAAGATGCATATGTTCTTGTTATAACTTCTAAATCATATTTGACATATCCTAGTCGTGATCTATCTTTCCCACTTCTAGAGTGTTTTAGAAGATGCTCAAGACTTTTGGTTCCTAGTGTGAATTTCGATAGATCCGATTTCAATAGGTTGATCTCTTTGTTAAGCTTGATGACTTCTTCTGAGGTTGAAAAATCTTTTCCTGTTTTTCCTAAGAGTTTTGCATTTTCATTTTTCAGTAAACGGTTTTCTTCAAGTAGTTCAAAAATTCTTTTCTTTTGATCTTTATATGTAGTAGAGATTTTTGCTGAATCTGATAGTAGTTGATTGTATGCATGCTCAAGAATTTTAAAGTCTGATTCAGTTACCTCCTCATTATTAGATTCTGATGATGAGTCTTTGTCTGCCATGAGACATATATTTGCTTCTTCGTCTTCTTCTGATGATGTTGTGTCGAGGTCCTCCCAGGTGGCCATCATGGCTTTCTTCTTTTCGTAGGGGATCAACTTCTTCTTCTCTTTTTTTTTTCCTTTTCCTTTTTTTTTTGAGTTTCGGGCATTTTGTTTTGTAATGTCCAGGTTTCTTACACTCATAGCATAGTGGTTGTGCCCTTTCTCTGGGAGTTCTGCTGTATTTTCTCCATCGTATTCCTCCCTTTTTCTTCATTATTGAATGAATCTTCCTTGATAGTAAGGATATTTCATCGTCTGTATCGCAGGTCTTTTCACTACAACTTTCATCAGACAGATCATCTGGTTTTAGGGATTTTGAAGAGGATGGTGTAGATTTTGTCTTTTGTACATTTAGTGCAATAGACTTTTATTTTCTCCCAGCGTCATCTTTTTACAATTCCAACTCATGAACCTTGAGTAGTCCAATGAGTTCCTCCAGAGAGAGCTTTTCCCGATTCTTGGATGCTCTTAGAGCAGTAACTTGTGGTCTCCATTTCCTGGGTAAACTTCGAAGTAATTTGTCAATATTATCAAAGGGATCATAAGTTCTACTTAGGAATGCACGTTCATTAACAATGGTTTGGAATCTTCCAAACATGGTTTGTATAGATTCACTTTCTTCCATCTTAAATAGTTCATAATTACGTGCCAACAAACTTAGCTTATTGCGCTTTACCTCTAGGGACCCCTCGTAGGTTAGAGCTAGGGTGTCCCACATCTGTTTGGCACTCCTAAAGTTGTGAACTTTAGTGTATTCTTCCTCAGACAGGGCACACATGAGTGCGTTGCGTGCTTTAGAGTTCAGCACAAATCTTTGCTTTTGCTCTTCACTCCATTGTGCTTTGGGTATCTCGTTGCTAGCTTGATCTAGTGGAATGTAGTTTCCTTGTTCAACAACGTCCAACATGTCTATATGACAAGCATCAAAGAATGCAATCATTCTTTGTTTCCAGTAGTCATATTTTGTCCCTTTGAAGAGGGGTGGGCGGTTCACGACTTTTCCTTTGTTTTCCACGATCGTTATCCCTGCAGTGTTAGATGCTCAACCCAAGGGTCCAGCTCTGATACCAACTAAATTTAGCAGAAATACACACAAAAGGGGGGGGGGGGTTGAATGTGTGTGTGCGTGTTTTGAAGGTAGATTTTTCAAAGTTGCTTTGCAACAATATTTTTGAATGAATAGAGTGTTCAATCACGGTTAAAAACTTGTGCAGGCTAGTCTGACTAAAAATTTTGTCTAACAAAACTGATCGTCTACTTCAAGAAACAAGTTGAGTGAGTTTGTTTTCCATTTGAAGGGTTTTATCGTCCAAAAAAGAATTGTTTCTTAAACAAGATAAGCAGTTGTGTTTTCGTCTAACAATTTGTTGAAAAGAAAATGGATGAAAACAAAGTGAGTAGTAAAAAAAAATGCACAGATGTTTATACTGGTTCACTCAATCTAAGCTACGTCCAGTCTCCTTCAACCGAAGGGTTCCACTAATCACAAAGGATTACAAGTATTCTCAACCACTTATGGCTCGTCAACTTCACTTGTCGACGCTAGTATTCTTAACCACTTCTGGTTCTCCAAGTATTCTTGACCACGTCTAGCCCGCTAGCTTCACTTACTAGTGCTAGTATTCTCAACCACTTCTGGTTCACAAGTATTCTTTCTATCAGCCTCTTCAAGCTTTGCAGCAAATAAAGATGTTGATTGTATTTGCAACTCTCACTGAAAGGATAGGGTAGTTTTTACACTCACTAAGGTGCGTAACCTTAGTTTCACAAGAATAAGTGTCTAAGTGTTTGTTTACTCTCGTAGAGAGGATAGAATATTAACAACACTTACTAAGATATGTTATCTTAGTTTTTACACAGATATACATGAAATGCTTTGAGAAGAAAATGTAGCTTATACTTTTTCACTTTCTTTTTCTTATTGCACGTCTTCTCTCATTCTCAGTTCTACTTCTTCTTCTTTGCCTTGATACTTATAGCCATTTAGTAAATTTGCCCGTTGTTTGAATTCAAATTTTCCCGTTGGAGCGTAGCTTTATGTCGTTGCAGATGGAGGCTTGTTCATGGCTATGTGAATCTCTTCATTTAATGCATTTGATCTTGCATTAAATGTTTGCTGGTATACATGAAACCCTTTTGTGTGGTTGATTACTCCAATGTCTGACTTCAATCATAATCTAGACATATTTGTACTTGTCTCTTTAGTTTAGCTGTTGCGGTGCTGTCTATCTCTGAAAAGTAGGTGTCCTTTCCCTGACATACGCAGCTTTGACTTGTAACTCCATGCTTGCCTATTTTTCTTCTTTTCTGTATTCCGATTTGATGTACTTTGGTGTTTCTTGTATGATTTCACTCAAATGTGATTAGTGGACATCAGACGCACTTTATCATTTTTAACTGCGCTTGAATATATGATACTTCGTCTAATTTTAACTACCCTTTACGTCTAGTCATGAGAGTGATAACTTCGTCTTCTAGTTGATTAGGCTCTATCTGATGATTTTGCCACTTCATGTTGATGTTTGGCCAACTTTCGTCCGGTGCTTGACTTAGTCTCATACAAAGCTTGTTTTGTTTTTACATCTGATTCCTCAAGCTTCAGCTGATAGATTTGTCTTATCTTGTATTTGATCTAGGCCTGGATCAACTTTAGTCTTGATACTAACTTTTGCCATCGTCTGATGTCTTGTTCAACTTGATTATGCATGATCGTCCTTCATTTTTCATGAACTTATTGTTATTTATCTGAAACACTAATACACATGTTAGCAATAACAATATGTATTATATTTGTCATATTCGAAACCTCAGTAGGAATTGCAAATGCGCTTCGTCTGACTTAACAATCAGAAATCTTGCAATTAACACTATGCTAAGCTCACGCCACCCCTGTTGCATCTCTTGCCCAAGGTCGTGCCACGCCAACATACGTGTTAATTGCTTCACATATCCCACACTATGCCATGCTCACGTCACCCCTATAGCATTTCTTGCCCAAGATCGTGCCACGCTGACATAAGTGTGAGGAACTACAATCATATCGGATTCATATTCCACTCAACATCTCATTTCATGTCAACAAACTCACATCATGATTAATTGAACAATTAAGCCATAACATACCATTCGCCACATCATGTTATCAATTCAATACTAAAACGGTAGATACAATGTATACATTTGTGCCAAGACATCACACCACATTCCATGACTCAATTCCACATCACATACACATTATAGATAAGTCCACACAAAATAATGGTTCACATACCCCTCAAGCAATTCACCATGAATCCACATCTCATCATTATACATATATGAACTAACTCTACAACCTAGTATCATACTACTTTAAACAACTTTTCAATTCATATGATAACACCTTAGAATATCAAAACATGACATACATCTCCCTTTGACAACTGTTAAAGAAAACAACACACAGGGAGTTATACTCATCCAACTAATCTCAAACCTATCTCAAAAGAAACATAAGAGGATAATCTACAACTATAATGAAGACATGAAATTCAACAAAAATCATCTACTTAGATAAAATTGTCAAAAACCGAAACAGATATATCCACGCTAACAGCTTGACCCCTGTTCACTAGAACAACCATATCTATAGTTCTAGACATACTTTTTGAGTGATTATAAAGCCATTAAAACTCTAACACCCAAAGCTACAACTTTTGTGAATAACACAAAGCCTAAAAATGTCACTAGGGTCACCTATCATGGATGACAACACGAAACTTAATCTTTCGCGCACTGGACTGGAGACTGAACTTATAACTCGTATAACTCAATCAATTCTTAATATTTTTACACGATTCTAGAGTCTAAATTATAGCCCCAAGTGTCTAATTTCTAACTCAAAAAACGAAAATTAAGGGTTTTTGAGGGAGGTAGTTATGAATTTAAAGAGGCTTTTGATCTTTGTTTGGTTTTAGATGTAGAGTTTTCCCCAAAATTTAAAGTGTTAGAATTCCATAAATACAAGGGGACTAGTTGTTCAAAGAGTCATTTAACTATGTATTATAGAAAGATGGCAGCATATGCTCGTAATGATAAGTTAATTATTGATTACTTTCAAGATTGCTTAACTAGGGCAACTTTAAATTGGTATATGCATCTTGAACGAACCCATATTTGCTCCTAGAAGGATTTAGCTGATGCTTTCCTTAAACAATATAAATATAATACTAACATGACTCCAGATGGATTTGAATTACAAAGCATGTCTAAAAATTATAGTGAGAAATTTAAGGAATATGCTTAGAGGTGGAGAGAACTGACAGCATAGGTGGAGCCTCCTTTTTTTGGAAAAGAAATGATAGCTCTATTTATTGATACTTTGTGAGCAACATTCAATGATAATATGATAAAAAATATTTCATCAAATTTCTTTGGTATAGTCATCATTGGGGAAAGGATTGAGAATGGCATGAGGAGTGGAAAGATTGTGATTGACTATACTAGAATGACTAGTTCAAAGAAATTTTCAAGTAGTTCAAGAAAGAAAAAGGAAGGAGATACCAATGCAGTGACATTCAACTCTCCTGGGATACCTAATAACAAACCCTCTTATTTCTATATCCCACACATGGCCTACCCTAACATTACTATTATCTAAAAAATTCCCCATTCTCATCAACTTGTCCACCAAGCTCCACATGTTTCACCCACAACACCTACTATAAGATCTCCTCAATCTAATCAGCCATGGAACCAAAGTCCTAGCCAAACAAAACCTCGAAACACCCAAGATCAAAAACCAATCGTGTTTAACCCTATCCCTATGTCCTACACTGAGTTGTTCCCTCTCCTACTACAAAATTCATTGGTAGTACCCTACCCGATAAAACCCATAGAGCCACCATATCCCAAGGGATATGATGCTAATTCCAAATGTGATTATCATACGAGTGTTATTGGTCATTCCCTTGAGAATTGTAGAGCATTGAAGTTAAAGCTGCAAAGTTTGGTTAAAGCAGGGTGGTTGAACTTTAATGAGGACAATCCTAATATTGAGAGTAATCCTCTACCAGGTCATGGGGGGCCAAATGTTAAGGTTATTGGAAAAGGTGAAGAAAAACTCATGATAAGGGGTGAGAGATGTGAAAACTCCCCTAAATGTCATTTTTGAAGAAATTGTTAAGTTTGGGATGTTGGTAGGAAGCCTTGACAGAGGTGAGGGGTGTGGATTACATCCTGGTAAGGTTCATGAGATTGAAAAATGTGATGAGTTTAAGTAGATCCTACAAGATTTTATGGATGAACAACTTGTACAAGTCGACTATTTTGGAAGCTATGCATCGGCTATTGATTTAACTTTAGGTTTCCCAAAACCCTTGGTTATCCACTATACTAAGGGTAAAAATGTTTTGAATATCAATGAGCCAAAGACTATCACAATATAGGTGCCAAATTATTTTCCCTA